ACAAAGAATTGTATCAAAACCACCTGTGGCACAGAGACCTACTGGATATAATCCAGAAAGAAAAAGACCAGTCTTCCGGGATTGGATCCAGACGCTTGGGCATAGACCAGCTAGACCAGTAAACCAGTCTACATGGAGAACAAAAATGAACATGTCCAAGCCGTTTTTGCAAATTTCAACTTTTTTTTTGACAAATTCCCCCATATATGTGCACACAGTTCCATGTTCACATTTCCAACTTTGTAAAATTTCCTTATCTGTAATTTTTTTCCCAGAATAATCTGTCACACAGCAGACCAGTCTCACACCATAACCGGTCCACAGACCAGTCTGTACGTCATGTCACAGACTAGTCTGTGCCTCCCACAACAGACTGGTCTGTAGCTCACATCACAGACCAGTCGGTCTTTCTCACATCAGACCAGTCTGTCTTTCTTGCATTGCACTAGTAGACTAGTCTGTAGGACAACTACAGACTTCTGTAGATCTCACCCTCACACAGCTGTCAGAACACTTTGATGCAAATGTTTGTTCATTCATTGCAAGTCATCATCATCGTCAATCTCTTCATTTTCCCAACCCACACCTATTACTTCTGCATCTTCTAATCCTCCAAAAACATCTTTGTCATCAGAGTCATTTACAAGCTGATGCTCCATAGCATTGATTTCATCCAGGTCTTCCGATGTCACGTCCGACATTGGTTGAACCTCCAAGATGAAAGCATTGGACCCTGCTTAGATGACCAATACTTGAAAGACAACCCATCTATTTGATTGATTATTGATTTGTACTGCTGGCTTTGCCAGACCATGCCTATTGAAGGATACAAAGTCTCTTCAGCCTGCCAATCTGTGTCTGAACAGCAATCATGATGTGGCAAAAGATCAGATGCCTGGTTGGGAAGATTACTGGCCCGGAGAAGTTGTGATAAGGATTTGGCTCTATATTTTAAGAGCTAGACGATTCAAAAATTATCATTATGAGCTTTGTGAACAATTTTGTCCCAAGATATATATCAGTATCAGTATGAACTCACTGTTCTTTTTTTATGTTGCATCTCTTTCTGGCGAAGTTTTTTAGCCGATAGACGATTTTGGCAAATGTCTACACACCGACCGCGTACCCATCAAAGCATAATGCCAAGGCAGTTGGATTCTGTTTCGTGTTCGGGAGTTATTGATTTTTTGTCAAAAGCACCTTGCCAATGCTTAACAATGCAAATTGCCATTGTTCGGTTCCATGGATCCTTGTCCGGCATCCCCCAATCAAAGGTAAAACGGCTGATACCATGGTTTTCCAAGTCAATGCGGCATAAGGACTTGAAGATATGCAGGTTTTGTGATGGTGTACCATCAATTGAAGTCGGCACATTCAAGAAAATTTGCCAATTGCTCATGATCTCCTTTTGACTAACAGATTGGAGTTGGCATCTTTCATCTGGTGTAGGACCAGGTGGGTAAGTCTTACTCGACTGATCGTATCCGATTAAAAAACCTAGCAAAGCTAGCCATTGAATGGCATATTCCTTCATTGGACTCCGGAAGAGAGTTGTGAACGGAGGCATTTAAAGCTTTGAGAGATTTGACTGGAGCGCCTCTCTTCCAGTGATGAGATGCTGAATAGTTTGAAAAGAGAGAAGCATCAAAAATCTTTGTGATAGAACACAAATGTAAAGAAATTTATTCAGGACACACTCATTGCTAGTAACTCCAAATTTTGGACGTATGGAAAGGCAAGGTGATAAAATGAGGACTGTGTTTAACACAACCTTTTCTATCTAAATACTGGTATCCATCAACCCACGACGCCTTCAAAGGCCCAATCACAACTGTGTCAATTTGAAACATCTCAGTGTACAAGGGCCACATATACATCTAACAGTTCGGCAAACCTGATCATTGAAGAAAGGCCGAGTCAACAGCTAACCACCGCCAAGAGAAACTTCTCGTGCTGATTGTTGCTCCACAAAGGGGCAAGCAGGCCTGTATTGTAATCTACAATTTGAAACACAAACAAAAAACATTCAAATTTGTTTCAAACGTCTCTGTGTGTGCACGTCAACGTGCTACAGGGTAATGGACGTGGTGATCCATTCATGAGAAACTTCTATTTGTGGTGGCCTACGCGAAACAATGCGTCAGCATTGCCTTAACTTCCACGTCTTTGCCACTTACTTTTGTATAAATTATAATTTTTGATGATTGCTAAAGCTGAAGGGTAGTTTGTGACTATCTTCAAACTTGTTCCAAGCACCTTTATACGTTTCCGCTCTATCAATTATGAGGCACTTTCCTTTTCCGGATTTTTAGAAACAGCTTTTCACTTGCCAACAGTATCAGTCATTGGCTGTCGGCTGTGCCTCGGAATGGTAAGCTTTCCTTGATTTCCCGTTTCTCTAGAAGCCGGATCTTCCACCACCAAAATGCAGCTGTTTTTCTTGTGGTCAGCATAGGTAAGCTTCCTCACGTATCATTTCCTCTCTGACGTTGACACCGGATTTTGAAATGCACTTATGTCTCAAGCTGTGCCTATTTTGGGACACTTGTCTCTTTTGTATCCTGCTACCTGCACCCAACCCTCAAAAGCTGCTTTTCCTGGCCTGCGCCAAAGTCTTTTGCCAACGCATCTCGAGCTGATATGATTGCTTTTACTCCGTCCATACACATCGTTTCCCTAAAGGGCAATCCCTCTCTCTAGTTCGCATTCTGCCTACCGCCACCTGCACTGTAAGAATCAGTATCTGTAGTCTAAGTTGATTCTACGCTTTTAAGGAAACTCACACTGTCCCTGCACAAAACTATGCCCACTCCAACAGTTACTAATCCTGTACTCCATAGGATGCTCTTCCTTTCCTTACATAAAAGTTTAGTATATAAATCATGTACTGCCTCCTCTTTCCAACCTTCGCTCCATCACCACTTAAGCTAGTCCCTTGACCTTCTCAACTATGATTGTATTCGCCAAACTGCACCACATTGGAATTGACATTGATGTGATTGAGCTCCTTACTCTTATAAACCGTCACTTTCACCAATGTCAGTCTTAAAGTTGTGTGCCCTTTGCCAACTGCTAACATTGATACTTGATTTTAGACTATACCCCGCAGACCACCGTCATTCTACCTAACTCAGCTTGCGTCCAAATGAACGTTTGGAAAGAATATCTTTTCCGCATCAAGAATCGTGGTTCACCTACATCCTCCTGCTCCATTTATTGTATCGCCCCTCATCCTCATTCCTTGACCAACCACCGTCAGTGCATATCAGTTTCCTTATCGTTCTGCAAACTGACAACACGTTCTGTCCAGAATCTCTAATTCTTGTCCACACGGAGCTACAAAATCGTGGTCCGCCCCATAGCCATTTCTTTTCTTGTCAAATCACTGGCTACACTACACTCTCTCATCACATTGTACATGAAGCGGAATCCGCACTTGAACTGTGATAGCAGGTACCGCGTTTCGTTCACTCATCGGATCCCTACTCCTGCAGAGTGGTAGCCAAGTCTTGTACACTGATAATCTACATGCCAACCGTTATTGACAGTTACATTCTTCCATTTGTTTCCTCCATGAGCCAACTATGTATAAGATCCACTTAGTTGTACCTTATCTTATCTTTGTAATCCAATTTTTCCTTAATTCTGTGAAAGTCACCTCTCTTGAGTCCCTGCCGCTTGTTTATGATGGATTCATCGATTCCTTCACGTTAACTTTACTTTGATTGTTCTGAAAGTCTGATTCATCCCCATTAAGGTGTGAATTGGTTAATCCGATGTTGAAGAAATACTTCACCTGAACTGTCTCGCTTGAGAAACAATCACATTAAGTTTGGTCTGCTTTGGTCCCAGATAACAATATCGGTGCCAGATCTCTACATAAGAACAACTTTGAATGGCTGAAAGAAACTACAACTGATGGCACTTAAGGCAAAGCCTGTGCGCAAGTACAAATGACAATAACACAATTCAGGTAGAAAGAGGATGAATTCAAAGAACTGAACAATAGGTTGTTGGAAACACCATTAAAAAAAATCAAGTGCAACAGACAATACAACCACAACACCATATTGTTAAAACCGCCAGTGTATACCGTTTTGATAGGCGGCTTTTTGGTTAATCATTGATTAAAGCCCGGCAAACAATATTTGTTGTTGACCGCCCCAAAACTTGTGTTGCTAAACAGACTTTCAAGTTCCGCAGGCTTGTGCATCTGGATAGAGCCACATATAACTGTCTGTGAGCAAAAGTTGGTCCTGGGAGAAAATACCCACTTTTTCAAGACTTTGCCCTTGTGCTTTATTAATCGTCATGCAAAAAGCTGACACCACCCAAAACTGTTTCCGGGAGAACGGAATAGGCTGCTCCAAATCACCGTGATGGATTAACCTCATCTTTGGCAACACTATTACTTCACCCCACTTTGGACCTGTGATAGCAACACAACATAAAACATAATCTGAGATATTGATAATCACTAACCTATTCCCATTACAAAGACCCAATCCAATGCTCAAGTTCCGCAAAACCATTACTGGTTGTCCAATTTTCAGATGTAAAGTATGTTATGGAAAGCCAGGGAAATTGATGTTATTCAGAATTTCAGGTGTCTTGGGATTGACAAAATCCAGGTCCGGTTTGTCCCTTGCCACGGCGCATGTCGACTCTCCGGGTAACATGTTTAGAATTGCATTGTTTGCCTGGCTGACGGTATTGTTGAAGGGGGTGATTAAACCTTGGTCAGAAAAGTAGGTCGCCGTCAAGTCTGATTCAGGATCCAACATTGAAGTATCTAACCCTTTGTACAGCCACCAAGGCTGTTGGATATTTGGTGAAAGGTGGAACTGTTTGGACGGTAACATGCCAAAGCGGGATGTTTTGTCTATCACATTCCTGAAGTTTTCCGTTGCCTAGGTCCAGCAGCCAGTTCGCGTACGTGGCACCATTTCCATCTATTTCCTCTTCAGTCAACTTGAGGCGCAAATTTTGACTCAGGCGGAACCTTTGTATTCTACTCCATAAGTAAGATGATTTTAAGCAAGCATGTTTTTGATCCGACAATGTCCCGTGAGGTACAATGGGAAGGGTTTACCAAAAATCTCTTGCAAAATAACGCTAATACCTCCAAAAGGTTGCAAATGCTTCTTGATATGTTGAAGGCTGCAGTCCACAGCTTCTACACAGTGTTTGTGCTGCATGGAAATTTTGTCCCATATTATTAACGGTGCAGACAGAATCTTCCTACTCCGTTTGTCCCAGCCATTCAAGTTGCAGGTACTTGTTTTGTCAACAGTCAGCAGAATATTAAACAGAGAGTGTGCAGTTGTGCTGCCACACAACAAAAATGCTGATACCCCTGACAACAAAACCACAATCAGTTCAAGCCCTTTGCCTTCGAAGAAACAAAGAAGTGTATTCAAGGTGTACGTTTTACCTGTTCCTCCAGGACCATCAAGATATGAGATTGTTTGGTTTTTAGCTTGTTGGCCTGCTAAGACGGAATCGAAGAATACCCTTTGCTGTTCGTTCAAAGTTCCCTGTTCTTGTTCAAATAGAGCACGACTTTGCTCACTGCATACCGACGTTGTATTGACTGGAAGCAATGTTAAACCAGGCATATTCTGCATTTGATCAATAAGATCTTGCATGAAACCTATGTTTCCAACATTTTTCCCCATATTTGCTAAGCTTTTGTTTACCTTATTAAAGCCAAAAGCTATCCGCAAGTCTCCATCAACCTTATCCATGTTACCTAATGAAACCAAGATCCTCTCAACATCTTCAGTGAGGTATTCTGTGAATGTGTCCCAAAGAGCGTCAGGTGCTGCCACTGGACCATAAGTGAGTATCAAGCTGAATAACTCTCGCATCTGATGCGCTGTGGCCCATAAGGATGCTGCATGCATTGCCGCCACGTGGTGTTTATCCGATTCCAGGAGGCCCAGTTTCTCCGCGGCTTCACGAAACAAATTACACATGGTCCCGTTCACTGTCCTCAGGTGACAAAACAATTGAGGGCCTTTCACGTTGAACAGGAGCAGCCTTAAGAAGTACTTCTCTCCGTCGGCCACTTTGATATAATGAACTCTTCCAACGGTAGATGAATCTTTGTTTTATCCCAAGTAAAGAACTTTGTCACATCGACATAAAGAATATCCCTGGCGTAAGTGGACGTGTGGCCGATGGCGTTGTCTTTACATAAACGCAAAAAGCCGGTTAACGTCAAGTTAGGAGGTGGTCCCACAGCTACCCTCCTCCTGGCTTGGGCCTTGTCTTCAAAGTAAACCAGCTGGTCATGTTCAAAGGGAATATGTAAATTCACTACTGCCGGTTTCCTTTTATTCAAGAAAAATTTGAATAAGCGCCAGGCACCTAAATCCCATCACAGATGTGATACAAAGTCAGTCGGTTTCAAAACACACATTTCACATTTGAATAACTTACACTCTGGTGTGCTGATGTACCAGCAATCTTGGAACTCTTTAGTGTCATCGTGGACCTCTGGAGTGACTTTTTCTGGGGTGTTCCACTTTTGCTTTCCCTTTCTCACTGGTGGAGCAGAGATAG